CTCGAAGATCATCAGTTACAGGTAAGCAACCTGTTTTTGGTCAGTTTTCTAGTGTCCAAAGAGGCATTGGAATCCACCTACCTGAGTTTCCAGCCTAGCGGTCTGGTCTTGGATCACTCTTATAAGAAAAAATGTTTTGCAGAGCATATGGGGGTATGTCTTATACATCAAACGTACAACCAATGCAAATGTTCTCCCTCTGCTTCTGTGCCTCATGGGAAAGGTAGTGAGCAGTCCAGGCTTTCATATATTTGAATGCTTGAAAACAATCTTGGTGCATGTTGTAATATGTCACAGCAGCTGTAAAATAATGTTATGAACTTCCACTTTTTAAAGGCCCTGACATTTAAAAAAAAAAAAAAATTGGTGCAACTTTGTAGATTTACCCAAAACCAATTGTAATGAACTTTCTTAATGCCATCAGTACTTAGATTCAGGCTGCAATCCAGTGCACACTTATCTAGGAGTAAGCCCCACTGAATAAACTGGGACTTCTTTTGGACTAAAGATGCATACAGTTGCACTGTTCAGTTATTTAGCTGTTGCATTTAGCCAAAGGCTAAAAATATATAATTCTTAACAAGTAACATGTTAAAATGAACATTGTGTAATCAATTGCCAGAATGCAGTCATATACCATACCATGATTTTTATATTTGCTGTTTTTTGGCATCTTAGCTTTACATTTTTGTTACAGTGAATGCAAAGAAAGCCTTTTCTTATATGCTGTCAGAGAGAGAGAACTGCAATGCATAACTGGGTTTAGGCCCAAATCCACACACACCTTCTTGCATCCAGCAGGATACTGTAAGGCCATTTTCAGGCTAGTTGGCTGATGCAGCAGCTGCTTTCATGGCCTCTTCTTGCCCTGTGCTGAGATTATTGGAGTACAAGAGCTGCAACGGGGGGGGGGGGGCAAATTGCAGATGCACTTGGTCCATCTATGCAATTCCTGTGTCCAAATGTCCTTGGAGCAGCTGATGTAGAAGCCATGGGGAACTGGTGTGTAGGACTTCAAACCAGAAAATGGATGAACTTTTAGAAAAAACTTTAATCCAAGGATCGAATAAGTTGTGTAGTTATTGTACTGCTAAACTCCCTAAAAGGCCTGGTGTCCAAAATCAGTCCAAGAAAGCTCAATATCAAGTGCTCAAAGGTGGGGAGAGTGTTTTATCCAGAGATGGGGGGAGGCAGACACCTAGCTTTAGCAGCAAATCTGTGTATTGTGCTTTAGAGGTTGTGGGCACTTTAAATAGCACGTTTAATATGCAGTTCCTTGGCTACGTTCCATCTGTTGCATAATGTATAACTGCTTCAGAAGCATATCAACCTATTACTGCTGAAGTTAGCGTCTTCTATCGCTTAAATAATCAAATGAGGTATAAAATGTCTCTTGCCTGAGCATCTCTTTTGTCTCATAAATGCATTTGTGGCACAAGATACATAGCAAACATTAAATGCACTATGTCACCGGGTGGCTTGAAGTTCTAACCTGTCAAATGTAAATCTATTTGACTTAATTTTATACTGGTATCTATGGTTACCTGCATTAATAGGACACAGCATTTATGGATGAATTACTTAATCTTCTATTTTTAGAATGGAAAAAAAATTAAATGAGCAAATTCATCAGATATGCTACAAACAGCTGTGTTTGTATTTCAAGCAGTTCCTCTGGTAATGCCTCCTTAAAAATGTACCCTCTCAAGAATGCTTTGCAGATTTTCAAAGAGTGTCAGCCCTAAGGGTTTTTTCCCCCATGACAATATATGTAACTTACTTTTTATAGTTACATATTTAATCATTGCTGATGTGAGTTGACGTGCAGAAGAAAAGGCGGTACATGCTTGAAGTGAAATGGGATTAAATGAGAAGCCTCCTGTCTCTGTTATTGGTAGATTTTTGGCTTGTAGCAGAGATGGATTTAATGACCATCTCACTGTGCCGAGCAAGATGATGGTTTATTTTTATTCTCGATTATTATAACTGTTGGATAAGGCGAGTGGTCAGGTATTTCGATACAGGCATGGTAAAGATTAGGCTGCAGTCCTGTTCAGCTCACCTGCAGTGACATTAATGGTACGTTGGACATGCATAACTGTGTGAGGGCTCTCCCCACAGAGTAGAGATCGTGGGCAGGACCCATGTGCTTAGGTGACCAGACCAAGGGTGAGCAGTGATCACGTAATTGGCAGATTACACGCCAATTAGACAGATGAAGTGGGCAGGGTCCATATACTGTCCCTTATCCACAGCTGGGTCACATAAGCACTGTTTTAAGATGTAGGGGAGCAGCTCACAGTGAAGTGGCTCCCTTATAGCTAGGGCAACATTTACATTCAGTTAACAATCCACAATTTAAGACCTGAAGTTACTGAATCATTCAGAGCACCAGTGTTTCCTGAAGGACAGCTTTATGGCAATTTGAGTTGGCATAAGCCATTTATGTACCTCTTGTGATCGATGCTCCCTCTAAGCTGTGGAGTCTTGTGAGCAAAAATTCTACTTTGTGAGCTACTGGCATTAAAGTTGTGAGCAAGCAATTTGGCTACTGTATAAATTAGTTTGCTCTGGAGCAATCCTTCCTGAGCTAAGACAAAAATGTGTGAGCTGGAGGCTAAAAAGCCGTGAACTAGCTGACACTAACTCAGCTTAGAGGGAATACTGAACCGGACCCTTGGCTCAGTAAGGTCAGTCCTGTCTACTCACACTGGTAGTGGCTCTCCTACCACATGATCCTTTTAGCTGGAGATGCTGGGAACTGAACCTGAGACCTTTGGAATGCCAAGCACTTAACCTACCACCGAGCTATAGGCTCTCCCCAAAATACCTGCTTTATTCATTGTTATTGCATCTTCATTTTTAACAGATAGCTGTGGAGTTTAAAGTGATGAAAGCAAAGGATGCTAAAATGTTTGTTTTAAACCAATAATTGGTTAATGGCTTTTTGAAAGTGACAAGAAATTTGGAGGCAACAATCCAGGAATATTTATAGACACTTTTAGAAGACTTCGTTTTTTTCCACTTGTTCCCACGTATGATTAAAACAACAATTGAGGCCAATCCAGACCATTAAGCCTATTTCAGTGTTCTTAAAAAGTATGGGATCTGGAAGAGTACTTCAAGAACATGCCAGTGAATAGAAGAGAAACATGATCTCGTTTCTTGAGAAAGTTTGCCTGTATATTGTAATATAGTTCAAAAGCATATAGCACTTAAATTGGCAGTGAGTTATTTCTGTTACCCTATGCTTATAACTCTAGGATATGAGACATGCCTCCATTCTCTAAAAGCAATTCTATGCAGTGGCATCAAAATTGTTTTTTCACCTCTGCTTTAGATTCAAGTTACTTATAATGAGTTTCATTGTATGTATGTAATGGAAATGTACTATTGTTTTAGTCTTGTTATGCCTGTAAAACTGAATTAATGACATAAGTACCTTAAAAATAAAAATCTTTGGATTGGAAAGCTGCCTGGTTGACAACTGTTGAGTAACTTCAGACCTTTGCGTTTAGTCATTCAGGAGTATGCATTATTTCACTTTCTATATATTTTTTAATGTCTAGGAAACCAGAATTTGTGCTGTGGATAAAGATAGCCATAAGAAAGCCAAAAAATTTTGTATTCTCAACCCTGAGGCTGGGGAAGGCATGACTCACATTTTTGCAGCTGAAAGCCAGGAAGACCTTTCTAAGTGGACAGAAGCTTTTTGGCAACACTTCTATGATTTCAGTAAGTAGCTATGTCTGCTTTTGTGCAGGGACACCTATGCAAGTTCAAAGAATGTGCTGCACATTTTGAGCTGGCAGAGCATAACAAGCTTGCCATTTGCCAGGAGGAGGAAAAATTCTCATTTTCCTATTACATTAGCTGACATGTTCCGCAAGGGAAGAGCAAGAAACATTTAAACTTTCCCCTATCCGGATTCCATTGTGCTCTTAATGTTGTGGGGGCCTAGAAGGAAACTATTCATTATGGAATGTTTTGGTAACGTGTAATAAAATGAAGGGATTTATTTATTTATTACACATCTTATTGGACTGCTTAGCAGAGCCTCTCTGTGTTTTGTTTCAATTGCCCACTTCTTCCCCCAACGTAGTTATTGGTAATACAATAAATCAGTGTTTTGTGGTTTAGAGGCACTGCCTTACTCTAGGGTATCCCCAACAGCAGGGGCACCCCACTTTCTAACCTGAACCAGAGACCCACAGACCCAGGCCAAGGAAGGCACCCCTGGTTCTGAAACACAGAGGGAAGCCATAGCTCTGGAAAAGGCTCTCCATTTTCAGGTGGCATAAAGGCAGCCCTCAGAGCAAACCTCCAGTCTTCTACAGGCTATTCAAAGACCACCTGGCAAATAGCACTGCTGTCTCTAGAACACCCAGCCCTTTTTGTGTGCACCTATGTCGGTGGTAGGCAAACTGTGGCTCTAGAGCCACATGCGGCTCTTTGGTCCCTTGAGTGTGGCTCTTCCGCTGTAGGCGCTGATGGCCTATTCCCTCCATTGTTCTCTATGGTGGGGAAAAAGTAACTTTTTCCCACCATAGAGAACAATGGAGGGGATGGGGCAACCTGTTTGGGGGCCTGTAGAATTGGACCCCCTGGTTCAATGTTCCTTAAACATGGTGGGTATCTTGGGGAGAGGCTCCAGCAGCTACCCTGCGATTTTGGAGCCTCTCCCTCAAACCCCCTCCCCTCCAGCCCCCAGAATATACCCTATGTTTTTGCCATTGACTTCAATGGCTCATAGGATAAAATGGGGCCAAACTGTGGGAAGCCCCAGCAGCCCTCAGGCCGGAGCACCTGGAGCAGTCTTGGGAGGTGGAGTGGC